GGTGATGGAGAAGCACGGATCTGGTCTGGATCTCTTTACATTCATTGATAATCAGCCTGATTTGGATGAGCCATTAGCAAGCTATCTATTCAGACAGGTGAGAGCTGGGAATATACAGTTGCTACTTGCAGGGAAGAGATGGTTAGGGTAAGAACCAGGATCCTATTTCTCTCATAAACCACAGTCATGCTCTATACCCCACATCTGGAATGCTGATGGAAGACAGTTGTTTAGTGCTGCACCTTCTTTTTTCTACTGTGCAGTGTGCTTTCACAAATTGCACTGTTTCCTTTAGGCTTCTGACTGATAAACCCCATTCCTATACCACCCCTGAGTTTATAGGGGTGCTCTGTTACCTCAGACCTGTACGCTATTTCTCTGCTGAAGGAGCTTTGTATTATGAATAGAAGCTTTATTCTCTCAACTCTCTGCTTTTGTCATCCAGATATGTTGTGGTATGGATCAAGATTGTCTCCAAGGCGATATAATTCTGATGCTATTCTTAATTATAGCACTACTGCATGAATCGTGCAGCAAGAAGAATGGAGTTTAAGAGTAAGGATATTATTTATACCAATCTTCACTCCTAAGTGCTTTGTCATCCTGCAGCATTAAGGGCATACAGTTTATTCTTTTAGTGAAATGAAAGGACCATCCAAATGAAGCTGGGATAAAAATAAAGTAACCAACAGTAACCAACAGTAACAATAAGCTCTGATGTTTCTAACCAAAGCACTTTGTGACTATAACATGCTATCTTCCTGCACATCTGTAAGAGGAAGGCAAGCTTTTCAAAGTCTCTCTCCCAAGAGCATTCCAACACCCACTACAGCAGTGCTGACAGGCGGCCCTGAGTTTGTGTGCACTTACCAAAATTAGGATCTGTGTCTTTATACAGTGTCAAAGCAACCTAAGATATGGCTGTGGTAACTCTGATGCCATTTATGTTATTTGGAAGGACATCTGTCTGAATCAACACACAGCTCTCTCCTCTTTCAGCTTGTGTCAGCTGTTGGGTACCTCCACTGTAGAAACATCCTTCACAGAGATATCAAGGATGAAAACATTGTCATTGCTGAAGATTTCACAATTAAACTGGTGGACTTTGGTTCTGCTGCCTACCTGCAACCTGGCAAACTGTTCTACACCTTTTGCGGGACGATTGAATACTGCTCACCAGAAGTGCTGTCTGGCAAACCGTATGTCACGCTATTTTGTTGTAAATCACACCCCCAGAAAAACAACCCTGTTTTTCCTGTGGGCTGGATGGAAGCAGGGAGGGTGTCTTATCACAGGAAACAGAAGTGAGATTTAAGGCACTAGTGGCAGAAATTATTTGCAGAGGCTTAAATGCATACATACGAAGTTGATTTTGTTAAGCCTGTTGATGGGCTTTCTTGTTCTGGTCAGGTGTTTCATGCACAGCCTTATACATTAGTGTAAACTAATGTCTTTCCTATGACAGAGCTGAGTTCAAAAACAAGCCTCCAGTTGTCATTTCCAGCCTGCATGAGTTGTGCTGCGGCTGGGTGTCTTTCCCTTGTCTCTCACCGTCAGCATGTCAGCTTTCTAACTTCTTCATACCTGTCTCTCAACTAAAAGCTGCTCTTTTAGAGAGCTCGTATAAAATTTTGTTTAAATATGTAACAGTTTTAGGTTATGGTTACGTTCCTTAGCACACTATTCTGTCGTTGCACTTAGAACTCATGAAGGTTTGTGCATCTCTGTGTAGGTATCATGGCCCTGAGCTGGAGATGTGGTCACTTGGTGTCACCCTTTATACCCTAATATTTGCAGAGAATCCCTTCTGTGAGCTGGAAGAGGCCATGGCAGCTGTCCTGAATTTTCCTCGGCTTGTCTCAAAAGGTGACTTTTCTCCCATTTAAAGGAAAGTATGAGCAGAGAAAAATGGGAAAAACAGTTCCAAATGTCCTACGCAATGATTTAAAAGGCTGTTTTCTGAAGCAGAGAAATTCTGCAGTTCTCTATGCCTACTGTATGTCTTATTAGTTTCAAATTCCAGTCCTCCCACTTACAAAGATGATTCAAGCTATTGCTTTGTCAAACTTCAGTGAGGTTTATGTTTGAGAAAGCCAGAACAAGGCCTGCTGGGAAGGCTGACTCTAGTACATAATGTTCAGTCAATAATGACACTCATCTAATTCTAATGCAAGATTTATCTCACTTGAACCAACTGTCAAGTAATAGCGTGTCACTCTGGGGATATTTGATGATCATCTGTTAATATGTAATTTCTGAATGAATCGTATAGCTTGACATCACAGGAAAAATTCACTGCTCCTGCTTTCATCTGTAGAAAACTAATTGCATGTCAGGCTATTGAAGTTTTCATCAACAAGTTCTGTGATCCCAGGAGTACGATGGTTATAAGGCTTCAGCAGTGCTGCAACTGAGCAGTAAATTCCTGAAGCTTTCCCTGAGTCCTGAGTGCACAGATGAGAATGGGGTGGTGGCTGCAGGCTCAGCAGCCCTCAGGTGGGCTGGGCTCCAAAGCAGTGATTTAGGGCTGCCTGTGTGACATTTGTTCCTCTGTCCTCCTCGGTGTCAGAACTGCTCTTGGTTCTTTGTTTTTACAACCTGGTAATCCAATCATCCTGGGAACTGAGCACATGTAAGTAGTTGTGAATAAAGCTGTGATAGAACAGGATGGTACAAGAGATTAGCGGGGAGGATTTGTAATTGAGATCTGCATTCTTTGAATATAAATCATATCTCGCATTCCCAGCATGCTTAAAATACAGACTGAGCTGTTTGTCTCCCTGCTGCCTCTTCCCAGATCTCATGAATCTGATCGTTGGGCTGCTGCACCCTGCTCCAGAGCAGCGCACAACTCTAGCAATGCTGGTGGAGGATCCTTGGCTGAAGCAGCCTGTGAACCTGGGTGATTACACCTGGGAAGAGGTGTACATCTCTGGGGCAGGTGAGATGTTCTGAAGGCTTTTTCTCCCCTACCATAGGAGCAAGCAGGGAGGATTTATAAGACAAGGTTTGCCTATGGTTAGCAACTTCTTACCCAAAGGCAATTTTCTCATATCCAGATGTGCTTTGAACTTGACTCATTGACCAGTGGGACCTACGGTTCATCCCTCACTGTTTATCTTTCTTTTTAGAAAGCAATGGATTGAGAAATGGTTCTGTTGAGTGCTCACACAGAGACAGACCCTCAGCTCCTCGTGTGGAAAGTGAGCCGTGCCTGAGTGCTTCCAGCTGTGTGTGTGCAGATCCCCTCTGGGAAGGAGCTGCAGCTGTGAGGTGTCAGGGCTGGAGCCTGAGGAGTCCCTGCAGCCGCTCCCTGCAGCAGCCCCTGCCTGTGCAGCACTAACTCCCTAACTGCAGGGCATGTGATAACACTCAGGAAGCAACAGGAATTAATTTCAAGCACTTCAAGTCTCTGCAGAAAGAGAGAAAAGTAGGAATCCTGAGAGCAATAGCAAAGATTTCCTATGAGGGAGCATTGTGAGTGAACCACTTTCTGTTGCCTATTGGGGCAGTCTGACATCAAGATGCCTTTTTTTTTTTTTTTTTTTGTCAAGCCTGTGTTGTGCAGGAGCTCTCACCACACTCCCTTCTGTTCTTCCCAGAATGGTGGCTAAGCTGTATGCAAAGCACGCTTGCAAACCCTGCTATTCACAGCAGCAGATTACTCAGCAGTGTAAGTTCTGACCCTTTTAGACACTGCAGCCCAGGGTCTGCCCTTGCCTTGGGTTTTGTCTCACAGAGACTGTGTCAGAAGCTTCTTGAGCTAACAGGCTTGTAATTGTTCTTACCTAAGAAGGGTTTTAAAGCTGGAAGAGATTTTCTTTTTGTCGTCTTTTATTGTTCAGAGCTCAGAATATATTTCTATTGGCTGTTTTGACTTTTATATGTAGTTTTACTCTTTCTGGAGAAAAAAATGAATGAATAAACACATGTATGGTTTTGTTGCTTAACTGGCTTTTGTTTGGAGTTTGTGCTCAAAAACAGACACATAATGGTGTGATGTGTATTTTTCCTTACTTCCCCCAGAACTGGAGCTGTTGGAAGGGACTCTGACCCTTTGTTAACACAAATTCCCTGCTGTAGGATAGAGTTCACTCATTCTCCCTGTAACACAGCCAGGGAGACCTCATTGTGGCCTTCCAGTACTTGAAGGGAGTGTATAAACAGAAGGAGGAACGGCTGTTTATGAGGGTGGATGGTGATAGGACAAGGGGGAATGGTTGTAAACTGAGACAGGGGAGGTTTAGGTTGGATATTAGGAGGAAGTTTTTCACCCAGAGGGTGGTGAGGCACTGGAACAGGTTGCCCAAGGAGTTGTGGATGCCCCATCCCTGAAGGCATTCAAGGCCAGGCTGGATGTGGCTCTGGGCAGCCTGGGCTGCTGGTTGGTGACCCTGCACATAGCAGGGGGTTGGAACTGGATGCATCGTGGTCTTTTTCAACCCAGGCCATTCTATGACCCTATGATATGATTTTGAGGAGACAAAGATATCAGAAAGAAAATTTGGCCGGGGCAGAGAGAATGCTGACAGGGTGAAGATCCTGACAAGCAGAGGCCAACGTGCAGCCCAGCCAGGGCTGCAATCCCGAGCCGGGAGATGCAGCAGATCCTGCTTTTGTAGTTCTGCTTCCTCATCCAGGTTTTGATAGTTCCAGGTGAGCACCTGGCCGCCTGAACTCGTGGCAGAACGCACTGTGTCACTTATTTATGACACGGAGGAAGGGCTCCAGCCCTCTCCTGCGCCTCAAGCCTCGGCTTCTGCGTTCAGCGCAGCCGGCTCGGTGCGCGGTAACTGCGCCTGCAGGGCAGCGCTGCCCACTGCTGGAACCGGAGAGACACCGCTGAGCACAGCGGCCTCCCCGGCGCCGCGCCACCCCTCGCGGGCGGGCGGTGCGGCGGCTGCGCGGTGCGGGGCTCCTCCCCGAGCCATGGCGGGCCGGCTGCTCCGCGCGCTGCGGCCGTCCGCGCCCCGCGCCCTCCTCCCCGCGCCGGGCCCGCGCTCCAGGCACCGCTGCGGCACGGCGGGTCCGGAGGAGGGCGAGGCGGCGGAGCTGCTGGCCATGGGCTTCAGCCGGGCGCAGGCCCGGCGGCTCCGCCTGCTGCAACCGGGGCTCGAGCCGCAGAGGCGGGCGGAGGCGGCGGCGCAGCTGCTGCTGCTGGGGCTGAGCGCGGAGGCCGCGCTGGAGCTGCTGGAGCGGAGCCCGAGGCTGCTGCGGATGGCGACCGCGCGGCTGAAGGAGCGCGCCGAGTACCTGCGGCGGCTGGGGCTGGAAGGAGGTAGGGGGGGGATGGGAGGAGGCGGGGCCGGGATGGGAGGAGGCGAGGTGGGGCCGGGCGGCGGGCGGCTCACCCCGCGTCCCGCGCCCCGCTCAGCGCGGCTGCAGAGCGCGGCGGGCCGCTGCCCCGAGGTGTGGACGCTGCCCCGGAGGAGGATGGAGGCGGTGGTGCGGATGCTGCGGGAGCGGTGTCTGTTCACGGCCGAGCAGCTGGCCGAGCTGCTGCGGAGCTGCCCCGACGTGCTGCTGGAGGAGCCGGACCGCGTGCAGCATCACTTCCAGGTGCGGGGCGCGGTGCGGGGCTGCGGGCGCGGCCCGGCCGGCGCTGAGCTCCGCGTGTCTCCGCGCGCAGTACGCGTACTTCAGGATGGGCGTCCGGCAGAAGGAGATGGTGAAGGCCCGGCTGTTCTGCACGCCCTTCGCCGAGCTGAGGAACCGCCACATCTTCCTGGAGCGCCGCGGGATTTACCGCACCCCGCACAAGGGTCAGAGCCAGAGCGACAACCCCGCGCTGCGGGACGTCCTGCGGCCGACCGAGGGCGACTTCGTGGCCGGCATTGCCAGAGCCTCAGCCGAGGAGTACGAGGTGTTCAAGAGGCTGCTGGCCCGGGAGGAGGAGGAGGAGGAGGAGGAAGAGATGGAGGATGAGGAGGAGGAGGAGGAAGAGGAGGGCAGCGCTGCACTGCATGCAGAGGGAGATGATAGGGACTGGCACCGATAGGAACTGGCACCAAGCCCTCCCCAGCTGCCCTGTGTCCCCCACCACCTCAGTGACCAGCTGCTCCACAGAACATACCGTTTCTATAAAGTGTTTTTATTTATTTATTAAAAAAAAAAAAAAATCAAACCCAAATAACTAATTTATTTTCAAGACTAGGTTAAAATCTTTCGGCTGTGTTACATGCTGTGCTGGAGGCTGCTGTCTTCTTAGTGCCGCAGGGTAGGTCCAGGCAGGGCAGCTCCTGGGGAGCAGAGGGGCCAGGCCCTGCTCTGGGGCACAGCCCAGACTGCTCTGGCTCTCCCTTGGCCCTGTTCTCACCCCTAGGGGTTGGTTTTTCACCCATCCCAGAGCACACGTCCACAAAGCCAGAGCAGGCAGCCTTAGAGAAAAACAAAGGCTGTCTGCAAACCTCATTCTCCCCATGGCAGAAGAGGCATCCCCAGTGCTGCAGGGGAGCGTGGCCCGGCCCTGCTCTTACCCAGCACTCAGGAGGACGAGGTGCTGCAGGGCTGTCCCACCTGGCTGCAGCACCAAGGCTGCCAGGGCAATAACACTCTATGCCATAACTACGATATATCTCTGGTACGTATTAATTTATAATATACACTGTGTATGTTAATACACAAATCTATGTTTAACTAGCATCATCGTACAAACTCACAACAACTAGGAACGTTTCTAAGCTAATTTTTTTTTTTTTTTTTTTCCTTGCTGGCTCTGCTACAGTCACCAAGGTACCCACAAACAGCACGGTGATGGCAGCAGCCCTGCAGGGTGACATGGGGTGCTGGGGGCTGTGCAGAGGGATGGCACCCTGTGCTGTGCCACACTGAGCATAGCATCACAGCCCTGCTGCTCAACTTACCCTGCAGAGCACTTTCTAGTAAATTCTAGGTGCTCTATCACTTTCTGAGCTGGAAAGTTGGTTAAAACCACAGATTGTTTACAAAGCAAAGAAAAAAAAAAGATATGGAGGCAGTGGAAGCTGCCTGAACTGCCCCACTCTAGCACAGGGCTGTGCCTCCAGCACCTGCTCTCACCTCCATTTCTAATGTGGGGAATGGATGTAAAGAAGACCTCCTCCCACCAGGGTTCAGGTGATAGCTAAGGCTTTTGGGTCCGCATTCAATTGTTTTATTTTTAGGTTATAGGTAACTTCTTAGAACCTTGGATTACGAAAACAGGTTGGTGCAGCTGCTGGTGGGCTCAGCCTGTTGGTGCCAGAGCAGAGCCAGAAGCCCGGGGCTGAGGGGCCCAAGGGACCCCTGGGGCAGGCAGCTGGGGCAAGGGCAAAGGCACTGCTGGTTTGGCAGAGGGAAGGCAGTGCTGCTCAGTGTCAGTCTGGCTGCGTGTCCCTAATGGGCTGGAGGAGAGGGAGTGGCTGAGGCCAGGCAGGAAGGTGGCCCTGCTGCATTCAACCCAGTGAGCAGATCTGATCTTCCTGGTGTTTCAGAAGCCCTTAGACGTGGAAAGATGAAGCTCCTACTGCTTTGAACCCTGCAGAGGAGCAGGAGGACAATGAGCTGGTGTGCAAAGGCCAACCCCAAAGCCCAGCAGCTTGTGCCAGCCTTGGCCAGGGACCTGCCTGCCCCCTTCAGGGCTTCTGCCTGTACCTGGAGCAGACACTTACGCTATGGCTTCTTCAGTGTGTGACTGTTGCTTCGTTTTCTGGAAGAGGAGGAAGGAAAAGACCCATCAGTCCTACAGCATCTCACCCATTGCTCCCACAAGGCACTAACATTGCAGCCTTGAGGTAGAGGAGCTGCAGTGTGCGTGCATGTGCCTCGTGTGCTGCCCTGCACCCCTCCCTGCCCACCCTGGTCCCAGCACCCCAGGACCCACATTCTGGCCCCCAGGCAGAGGGAGGGCAACATTTCTGCTGGCTGTACCTGCTGGTTTTCTTGGAACCGGTGCTCTCACAGCTCTCCTTGTAGCATACATCCTGGTGTACCTTGTATATTCTCCTGTACCTGCACACACAGAGAGAGGGGAGCTGTATGGTGTAACAAGGATGGAGCTGTGTTTTTAACTGCTGAAGGGAGATCTCCCCTGTTTCATTGATAAGAACGTGGCTGAATCTTGCATGCCTGGGCAAGGAGCTGGGCTGCTGCACCTGTGCCACAAGGAGGCTGGGAGCATAGCATAGGCCCCCGTGCCCCAGCATGGGTGCTGGCCCTCTACCAGGGACAGAGGTGGCCCTAAGCTGGGCTGGCAGGCAGGGGATGCACCATGTCACCCTGCCCTGATCTGGAGACTTTGCCAGTGGTGCCAGGCACCCAGAAAGGCCACGGCATGGGACAGCCCTGTGCTCACACTCCCTTCCCTGGAGCCGTGCTGCAGTGACAGCCTTGGCTCTTGGGATCAGGGGAAGGGGGAGCACAACCCGCGGGCAGTACTCACAGGTAGTGGCAGGTGCCTCCTTCCCACACAGGGAATGACTTGGTTTCCGAGTACAGCCGTGTGCACGAGTGTGGCACCTTCTTGCAGGCTGCTTGGGGAACAGGAGAGGGGAGCTACCAGCAAGCCCACCTCTGGCCCTGCCTGCCTGTGCCTTGGAGGCCATCAAGGCCCCCCAGGATCCCCCACTGCAGTCCTGGAGCTCCAGGCTCTGTCACTCGGAGCCAACCCATAAAAAGAGAGTTCCAGTCTAGTGGTACTGAAGGGCACAGCAGGATCCTGGCTGCTGGAGGCTCAGCAAGAACCTGGGGGCTGGGTACGGATGGGGCTGCTCAGTGACCTGCGCCCTGTGGGATCCCACTGCTGGAACAGTTGCCAGCCTTGCCATGCACTCTGGAGCAGCACAGCACTCACCTAGCTCACAGTGCCTGCCCTTGAAGCCTGGGCTGCAGTCGCAATGGTAGGATTCACTCTCGCTTACACAGGTGCCTCCATTCTTGCACGGGTTTGTGGAGCAGTTCTGCCTGATGCCTGGAAAAAACATGCACTGCTGTCAGGCTCCAGGACCCCGGCAAAGCTGTGTACATCCACAGGAGGGCCAGCTCCCTGCCAGCCATGCCCACCCCAAACTCACTTTTGCTCCATGCCTCTCGCAGCTGCAGTGCCAGACTGCTCCGGCTGGGCTCCTCGGTGTTCTCCAGCCTCACAGGAGCCTCTGGCTCTGGGCAACGAGAGGGTCAGTGTGACTTCCAGTCTGAGCCAGACCCAAAAGCAGCCCCTCTGCAGCACGCAGGGGGACCCAGCCTAGAATCAGGGGGCTGGCCATGCCTAGAGCAGCACCTTAGCCCTTCCCTTTTGGCACCTGGGGTATAGCAAGCCAGAGGCTCACTTGCCTCAAGCATGAGGCAGCGTTCGCTGCTGGCAGTCTAGGCCAGCTCATGCCACATCTCACATCTCCTCCCATCACCCACAAGCCATCTCTGGGCTTCCCAACTTGCCAGAGGCCACCCAGCTCCTTAGGTGAGGCAGTTGTTTATATGGCCAGGGAGAGGTGGGCGGGTGGCTCTGCCCTCCCCTCCCCTTTGGCTCCCCCAGCCTGCCTCATTGTCACCCTATCTAGGAGACAGCACATGGTGACTGAAGGTGGCCAGAAAGGCAGCAAAGCACTTACGTGTCTTCACGGTGATGGATTTGCTTGGCAAAGTGCCGAACCTGGCACTGATCCTCCTCCTGCCATCCACCAGCTCAGTGAACCTGGGGGAGCACAGCCATGAGGGTGTGGGGCAGGGTAGGGTCCTCAAGGCTGGAGGCAGCCCGAGTGAAGCACTTGCAGGTGGTGTATGGCACAGTGCAAGTGCTGCAGGCAGCTCACGGAGCGAGGCTGGGGTGGGCAAGGGACACAGCCCAGGTGGAGCTAGGCTTGGCTAGAGCTGGGGGAAGGGGCTGTGCTCAGCCTGCCAGTGCCTACCTGGGGGCTGGTGAGGGCTCCTCAGCTGTGTCGTGGTCTGCGAGCAAGCGGAGCTCGGGCAGGAAGGCTGGGGGCAGCCTGTTGCGCAGGACACGGGGATGGCCAGCCTGGCTCCAGCGCCTCTCTGGAGCCCCATCCTTCTGCACTGCAGACCACAAAGAGTCAGGCTTAGAGAGAGGCAGGCAATGAGTCAACCGGTCCCTGAGGTGCCATTTAGAGCTGTCTAACAGGGTGCCATCTGCTGCCACGTGCCGTTGTTTCCCCAACAATGGATCACTGAGCCGCAATTCTGCACCTACCCCTGTGCTGGCTCCCAGCGACGGGGCACCCATCCCATACCCAGGCACCTGCTTTAGGGGCAGAGACGGGCACTCACAGGTGGTGACGTAGAGGTGGATGGGCTCGCTGTGCACTTGCCCCTGCTCTGTGTTCTGCACAGCTGTCACAGACAGGCGGTAGCGCTGCGCGGGCAGCAGGTCCCGCACGGTGTAGGACACGAGCTTCCCGTTGGGCACGTAGCGGCTCTTGACGCTCTGCGCGGTGGTGACGTTGATGATGTACCCCTCCACGGCACCAGTGGGCGGCTGCTCCCACGCCATGGACACAGAAGTGGGGGTGACACGGGAGGCTGTGAGGTTGCGAGGGGGGAGAGGCCCTGGAAAAGGAAGGAGAGAAAAGGATCAGTGCCAGAGTCCAACCTCGAGACTCTCAGGACCTTGCCGCTAGCCCGGCAAAGACTCTGCCAGCATGCACCACGCAGCCCCACTCACTCGTCCACACGTGGAAGGGGGCTGTGGCCAGACTCTCCGAGGGGTGATCTTCTGTCCCCATGCCACTCAGCGTCGTGACATGGACGATGTACCGCTCTCCCGGCTGCAGGTCCCTGCAGAGGTGGGCAGGGGACATGAGCGCGGCGGTGCACAAACGCGGCCGGTCCCACCGCCCGCCTGCCACACTCACAGGAAGGTGTACTTGGCCACGCTGCTGTTCAGCTCCACCGTGCGGTCTTCCAGGTCCCCAGGCTGGCGGATGGAGACACGCACCCTACTGACGGTGGAGTGTTTGAGCCGGTGGAGAGCCCATTGCACCGTGATGGTGCTGGCCGTCACGTTCGTGATCTCAAAGCCTTCCACCGGACGCGGTCCTGGCCGGAGCGAGCAGAGAAGCGGGGAGGGCTGCGGTCAGCAGCTGGCCGCGGCGGGGCTGCATCCTTCCCACATCCCTTATCTCCCA